CATTGGGCCTCATTCATGAAACACGAGCAGAACGATTTTTTGTGTAAATCATTCGGAAAGTCGTTCTGACATAAATTTTCGGATTCATGAAAATGTTCGTATTTTGAAAATGTTAGTTGGTACGAAAGAAATTTACACCTGCTCCCTACAGTGTGTAAATGGTGCATAAAACATTCAAACGTTCTGTATTCTTTTAGACAAACTGATGACACTGCATTTTTATGAACTATGTATTAGAATGATATTTAACGAGTTGTTTTTTACTCTTTAAATTTGGGTAAAACGCAGAGCTGGTCACTGTCCCTTTTTACACAGCTGTCCAATCACAGTGGAGGAGGGGCGGAACAAATATTACATTGACCAACCATGATCATACTTGTACAACACAACAATAGAGAAGTTAATATTGCTGGTTACTGCATTTTTATATTCAGTAATATTCTTCAAAATAAGATACTCCTAACATGTTACATGTAAACAATGCGTCACTCCAGAAAAATGCAGTGCCTCCAAAGCTCTCTCAAGCACCACCAGCTGGTCGTTTTCAAAAGAGCACCAGGCATTATGTCAGCTGGCTAAAAACGGTCTGGTGGACACACGTTAATTTATTCATTTATTGTTAGGCATATAGCCTATTAGTCTCTTATGCATTTATGCTATATAACTTACCAAACCTGAGAATTGAGTCCAAGGATTCCACACCATTCCTAGATACGTAATTTGCGTAGCTGTGAATGAGCGTGCATGCGCGCCCTATTTACGAATGATTGGATCTCATTAACATACACACATTTAACTATCAAATCTAACCTTTATGAAGTATTTGTGAATCCAGAGGAGAGTTTTTGGGAAGGTTCGTTTTACGTGTAAATTACTCAGAATTTACTCATATATTTACTAATGTTTCATGAATGAGGCCCATTGTGTGCAAACATGTAATAATTCTATGTTGCATGATTGAATTATCCATTGTATGTGTTTGATCATAAATAAATACGCTTAAAACCGACAGCAGTTTTACAGTCTTTTATTCAAAAATATTCAAACAGTAGGTGTACATTTCATTTCACAGCGACACACATTTAAAGAACGTGAGAATACATCATTAAATTTGTATACATATCATTTCGCAGAGACACATTTAAAGAATGTGAAAATACATAATTAAAATTCTAACCATTGCCTTCGATCAAGAGATGGTGATTTGAACACGGCTTCATCCATCCTCAGTGCCGTAGCACGGGAAATTATTTTTATAAGGTCGTGCAGGCTCAGGCGTGCGTGCGCGAGCTCCAAGAGTGGTTTTTAAAAAACTAATCAAACGTCTAACATGCTGATAAGGAACCGTAGAAAATTGTATGTTTAATTCAGCAAACGCCTGTATAAAAATACCCGTAAGGTTGACTGCTAGCATCTTGATAACACTCCATAAAGTATTTCACATTGGTAGGGTACATCTGGCGCCCTTCAACAAATTTAATGTCATACAATTTAAGCAATTCATCATACAGAAGCTGCCAGCAATTGTAAACATATACAATGTTTTCAATTTTTTGCTGGGACCACTGATCATGCATAAAAATAAGTCAAAAGTCAAATTCAGAAGCATCCCGAACCCCTCTTTGCATCATCGAATCAGTAGCCATAAGGAAGAGTGTTGAAATCCGGTAGAAGTCTACGTTTATTGTACACCATGTTGAACCTTTTGTCGACTGACTTGTTGCGCAACGTGAATTGCTTTTTATTCCACACAATTTTTTCAGAACGAGCCAAGATGTATCGTGTTTCGTCGTGAGATGTCACATAGCCGGTAACCAGACCAATCAGAGTATCTAATCGGATAGCTTGGGAATTTTTTGGAATTTTTAGCATTCAGAGGTATACCTTTAGCCTTCATGCACACTTTTCCTTTGGTGGTGCGATAGCCATAAGATTTGATAAGATTTTGGCCCCCAAATGGTCTTCCAGAGGGGGTATCCAGTCGCCGTCCGTAGACATGAATATAACAGAGTCGGTATCAGAGTATAACACCCGGTCACCGAGTCTGTCCATCAAGTCTCCAACCGGGCGTGAGCCATCGCAAACGCCCCTATAAACACGTTAAGAAACACGTTCGCGAGTCTCGCAAACGTGCCCTTCGGGATGACAATGCTGGACGAGTGCCACGTCATCCAAGAAATATTTCAGGACGTCGGTTTTACCAAAAATTATTTGTGCGAAATCTTCAGGGTCTCTCATGAGCAGGGTTTGCGGTAAATTCTCCCTCATAGAGAATCTCCCCCAAAGGGAGTTAAGAAGCAGCTTATTGATAGACCTCTGGTCGGGGTTGTGACTGATTTTTTTG